TAGAAGAAAGTGGAGATGTGTTGTTGAAGCCCTATTCCCCCCCACACACACACACACTCAGAACCCAAGGGAATAATAATAATAACAAAATACACGGTGATTGGCCAGTTCAAGGTCACCCAGCTCTAGTATCTATTTCTTTACTGTTGCGCTTATCCCATAAACGAAAACACAATCACCACTTAGAAGGCAAAGGAAAGTGTATAAAATGAATGTAAATAGGAAATGTGAATTGAATTTTGAAATAGATGGAAAATATATCCCCTTTAAACAGAAGTAATAAAATGGTTTCAACAGATGGTGTGTGGAATTCAGGAAAAAGAAATAATAAACCTGTCAGTCAATAAACTTTTAATGTAAACATTCTCCGGAAATAAATATATACATATATACGGTAAAATATAAAATTTACACATCCAAAAATGAGCCAAATTTAGATTTGGCTAAAATATGAACAGAGAAATTTACTTGTTAATAAATTGAAATATCTTGTTGCCTGGAGAAAATTTCATCTAACATTTCACAAATTGGAGATTCAAAGTCAACCTGATATCCAAGAGTTTATGATACCAAAAAGTGTTGTTCTAACATAAGTATGCAGTGGGAAGTTTCCCACCTAAGACTTCACTTCAATACACCTGAGTGTCCCCACTTAGTTAGTCATTTGGTTGGTTGGTTATAGAACTAACTTAACACTCATTCTTGGGGCTGTGAGCTACACGTAATGTGTGAGGGCTAATAAGACAGACTACCCTCAGCCAACTAAACATGAAATAGCATGATTATAATTAACCAAGGACAATAACGTTATTTTTCTGAATGTTTAGCAAACGTGCATCTCATCAAATCTGTAAGATGATAACAGTCTGAAAGTATGAATAACTGAGTATTTCGCCGCATACAAAGTTCATTCTCTCTTTCTTGGGAATCAACAATAACTTGATAAATTAATAATAGGATCGGGTCCCAGTTGCTCAATGGTCTACGAGCTCACCTTGTAACCAGAAGGTCCTGGGTTCGAACCCCGGTGAGTGCGTACTGCTGAAGAGTCCCAAACTAGAACGAAACAGCTGTCCAGTACTCCCAGGTTTTCCAGTGGTTCTTTAACTGATGTCAGCTCATGATGAAATCCTCCATGATCTAAGAATAATAAAGTTCAGAAAACAGTCTCTTTTCGGTGGAGAATTAATTCACTTAGCTGTAAAATCGCATTCACATATAACTATTTTGTTTGTGTGTGTGTGTGTATATATATATTAAGATTGTCAAACAAAAATGAGAATTAGTAAGGGTTATTTTGTTTACGTCATCGAAGTGTTTCTAAAATGTGATGAATAATCAAAATTGTAACTAGCGAAGAGGGCGGGGAGGTGAAGATTGGTAAGTATTGACAAAGGCTGTGTAACATGAAATAGGATGTTAATGCAGACACGAGTACAGAAAATAAATTATGTAATAGGTAGAAAGAGTAAGTAAACGGTTGGTTAAGAGCAAGATGTTACTGATTTATGCTCACAGAGAAGAAACTTCTCCACCCTCTCCTTCTACCTTGGGTATAATTCCAAGTTCTACTACCTTGCTAATGAGGCCTTTTTTGCATTCTTTTTATAACATTTTAGTAACGCCATCTTTTTCTTAACAAACCCATTATTTACTCTTTCTACCTATCGCATAATTCATTGGCCAACTTAGATTTTAAGCACCAGTGACTACCAGTGGAGTGCGCCGCACCAATGACCTTGAAACACTCACTAAACGGGTCAGTGAAACCTGGCAAATAATCCTGTCATCATCAATAAAATATGCTCATCGAAACCAAAGACAAATTAGGGCTAGGATAACCTAATAAATAAAGGGTTGGATCGAGTTAGATTACAGTTAGTTTAGGGGTATTTTTCCACGTTACGGATAGGTTATAGAAAGATTAGGGTTATTGTTAGGTTTAGAACACCTAAATAATTACATGCATAGAATGTGGTTAAATTACTCTGTTGATATAAGAATAAGACTTGGGCATTATGACAGAGTATAATTCCATTGCAGGTAGCGTTTATTTTGATAAAGTCTCACAGTGTTATACAGTAAGTAATATTTACTGACGACAACGTTTCGAGCACAGTTTATTGTTCAGGAAATATTTCTGTATTACATTTTACCCACAATGGAATTATACTCTGTTGATACTGCAACCTAAAACTGAGAGTCAGCAACTAGCATGTGTTCAAAGTCATTGGAGCGTTCGCACTCCTGGGACGCTGTTGTTGAACTATGCCCTATTTATATCACATATGAGAGTACAATATCCTCTGTAACACTTTTCTACAGTTTTTATGCATTATTTCATCCATATATGTATTCCATACACGAAAATGTCTCCTTCACAAGATTGGTGCGTTCAAGGTCATTCGCTGATTGGTTGTTAGTGGTGCTTAAAGTTTAACTTTGACAATTTATATTTCGGACAAATGTCTCCATTAGCATCCTATCTCTTATTAGGCTACCCTTGTCAATACTTACCAATCTTCACCCCCCGCCCCCTCCACTAGTTACAATTTTGATTATTCACCACATTTTAGAAACACTTTGATGACGTAAACAATAACCCTTACTAGTTTTCATTTTTGTTTGATAATCCTAATGTACACACACACACAAACAAACAAAATGGTTATATGTGAATGCGATTTTACAGCTAAGTGGATGAATTCTCCACCGAATAGAGACTCTCCTCTGAACATTGTTGTTCGTATATTGATGTCTCGATGGGTATTTTCCGTGAAATTAACATTATTATTATTCCCTAGGGTTCTAATTGGAAAATGGGGCTTCAACATCACATCTCCATCTTGTCATGTTCTACGAAGTCCTCTTCGGCTGGTCCCAAGATTAACTATAAACTTTCACTTCTTCCTTGCAAAATCTTGTCCGTATCACCTTCAGAGGCACGCCCAACTCACGGTTCCTCACACGGATTCCACCCGAAAGCCAGCAGCACGATAGGTTCTTCTTCATGAATTCATTCCCAGAGTTTCTTGCTGCTAATTTTTTCTAGCTAGCCAGTCATCTGATCTGATCGGTATTAAAACGGCGAAATCGACTGCTGATAAAAGTCTGTAGTGGCCTGTTGGAAATACTTTTCATGATACGCATGCTAAGTTTCTGACCCACGTACAAGAAATGACTAACTTAACATTGGTGTCGAAAATTCGTATATCCTTCTTTCTACTGAGTGAGGAATATTTCTACACTGGTTTCAGAGTGATGAAGACCTGTCCCACCTTTCTGATAAATTAATATAGTCATGATTAACATTGACGTTAAGTTACAGCTTCTAAATTGTTCATAGACTTAGTGTGTGCATCACAAAAAACCGCTTCCAACAGGTCACTGAAAACTTTCATCTATTCGTGCCTCTTCGATGGCTCGATTCTGAAGATCAGATGGTCGGTCAGAAAGGATATGCGACAGGGAACTCTGGCTACGAACGACCGAAAGAATAGATTACCTAATAAATATACAAAAGGAAATAGAGATGGATAAGACATATTCTGAGGAAACTGCTGAGCAACATGATACGTCAGGCCCGCTTGACTACAAGGCGAAATAGAATCGAAGATGACTTCAGATTATGTGAAGAGAAAAGCGATGGCAGAGAACTGAGTGTAATAGAGATGGATCCAGTGAACCCCTGTGTTCCACTCGGGACTCAAGCAATCAATAATAATAATAACGCCCGTTTAAAGAAAGAAAAATGTGTCTTCTTTGTGTACCAAGAGGTGCAAAGTTACAAGTGTATATGACCAAGACAGACAATAGCTGGATATAGGTTCAGCACACAACCATCAAAATACGATTAGTCAATCGAATACTGTTCCCATAAACAGAAAGATACAGAAAACTAAATGAGAACAAATACATTGATTTCTCTATTAAAAAAAGCGAGAAGACAAGAAATTATAGTAAATTATATACTTATTTCGCCCTACCACTAAAAACTGCATGTTCTGAATTTTTTAATAATTTTCTTGTGCGTTGAAGTTTATGAAGCAGTTTGATTGGTTTTCTGGAGTAGGGTAGTTTGCCTTACACCCAACCATCCCATTTTTCCTAGGCTTGTGACCGACTGGAAAATTAGTGAGCTAGTAAACTAGACGAGGTTTGGTGTCACTGTCAGAGTTAGTGCGTGTTCTGATTCGATAGCTGAGTTCAAGAAGGGACGCTAAGCTAGTGACAGACGTACTGACCACGACTATTGCTTTACTATACCGAGAACATTATACGATAAATACCTACCTACATCCCCAATAGTCAACACTTAAACGAGAACACATAACAACGTGATTCGCAAAGTATATTAGAAATATCATGAAGGATATCTCAATTAGTCTGTACTCATAATCAGTAAAATATTGGGCATTATTTCACGTTAGTCAATACCGATTAGTATATTTCCGGACTGGACATTAATCCACACATCAAAAACATGTACCCATAAAATAACGAATGATATAACCTTTAAAGCAGCTTGAAATCGAATTTCTAATTTACGGATCATATGGAAAAAAGATGACTCATGGAATATGTCCTCATATTCTAATAAAGGGTGTTTAAAATAAACTTCAAATTTTCTACACTCTTGAAAGTTGTTTGGTGCTCTGAAGTTTCGAGTTTCCACTGGAGCGTGCTAGGCGCCCAAGCGGAACCTAAATGGGAAACGACAAGTTGGTCATTGTTGGAGGATGACACGGAGCGAGTTGTGTGAGTAGGAGACGAAAACTTAAGAGCAATCGTGGAGGCAACTAAAGAGGACAACAGAAAATAAGATAAAATTGAGATGCGCTGTTGAAACCCTATTGTTCCCACTTAGAATACCCAAGGGAATGAAGATGATCGATATTTCAATACTCGGCCGAATACAAAAAAGACGGGAAATAGTAAGCGATATAGACAACAGTGATGATGATTATCAATAATAATAATAATAATAATATACTTCTTACATCAATGATTGAAAATTTCTTTCGAACATCCAGTGGTTTATTTACCTGTAATAGAAAACAGATATGCACGTAACACCAGAAGTGATTTGTTGACCTGTGAGACTACATATACACTAGTATAAATGTTATGAGTAAAAACAAAAGATAAAGAAAATCTGTGTTTGAATGCATCGGTGGCACAGTAGTAGAGTGCTCGCCGATCACGCAGGTGGTCGGAGGTTCAATCCGCGACCGACTCCTCCTTCACCTCGCTAAGCCAGTAGTAAGACTGGTAAAAAGGGAAGGTTGTGCATGAGGCTAGCAACCCCATCCAGTAAAAATAATCACTACTGCTACAGGAACTTCAAGCCTCTAGCTTGAAGCCCTATGTTCCACTGGGAACGTAAAAGAATGCAAAAAATGTTCGAGTAAATCCTCTGAATTTGTTGGCAGTTGTGCTTGAATGTCAACGAAGTTGATTGGTATTTATGCATAAAATAACAAAGACACGTTACAGCGAGTGCTACTGATAAGATTTATCAGTAGTATATAAAGAGACGTTCATCGACCGGCATATAAACAGCAAATAGCAGGGAGATGGATTTGATTTCAGAGAACACAAATAATGATACAGCGTTGTGGAGATACATGGGAGATGTGAAAAGAACGCAAAGAAACACAATATGAAGGAAGGCCAGAAGTACCACAACACGCAAATCTGTGCAAATTGTGCTTTGAATATAAGGTGTGCATAATTTGGCTATATAGAGATACCATTCTTTCTGCACCAAGTCTGCATCAACTACCGTTTCAACGTTACTTAAGATTACATAACTGTGACAGTATGTCGATGAGAAGTCAACTGAATGAAGCACCAACATTTCACGAGATGAGCTCCATGGCCGTTCAGCCATCAGTTCGAATTCTAATGACCTGTGAGATCTAAATTACACTTATAGTAGAGATACAGTGGACGTTCATCGATGGTAATAGTTGACGAAAACACTAAACCACGAATTGATAGAAGTTAGAATTCATGAATTTTTGGATTTTGATCGGATAGCTTAGTAGGCAACACGTTCTCCTCGTAGCCTAGGAATTCCCCATCGGGGTCGTTGATGCAAACTTCTGATGGAGAGCCCCAAACTAGGAAGCAAAACATATTCAGAGTACCCTAAGGTTTTTGATGGTGTATCTCTAAAGGCAGGCAGTTGTCCATCACATAACATACGCAGAAACTAGTCGAAATCCGTACAAACAGGTAAAAACTAACCAGCAAAAGGATTTTTAACCTGTGACATTAAGTATCAAAAAATGTCACGACTTTTAGGAGAATAACACTAACCTGTAACTACTACTACATTTACCACTTCATTCAATCCTATCTCTATTACAAAAGGATACAAAATTGACAATAACGTAGGAAAAAACTGGTCTGTCATAACTAAATTCTCCATTCATAAATATTGTGTTCTGAAATACCAAAATTGTGTAAACTTAAAACTGTCTAAAAGCTACTGCCAACAACTTCAGAGCATTTTATCGTTTTTCTATACCTTCACATGCCGAGTGGGTAATTATTAAACAGCGTCAGATTCGAACTGTGAAGTTTTCCAGTACTGGTATTGTCCTTTCTCAAACTTTTCTCTCTTCAGGGCATATTAATGGCTAAGAGAGGTTTAGCAGCGCGTGCTGGTGGCTAGGAGTTGAAGCTGGACTACATGTATGTGGGCGGGAAGCAATCTACTACTACTACTACTAAAAACACTGACGCAAGACTTTTTAAAGAATATGCTATTTCAATGACTCTCTTCTAATAAATAATCTTCCTTATTGTTTTTATATTTACACTTAGCAGTCAATGTTACTTTGAAGTTCAACTAAATCGGATAGTTTTCGCAGATTTGCAAGCCACTTGTTCGAATGAGGAACAATATACAAGACTATACTCTATCCAAAGTGGGTTCCCCAACTAGTCGACAAATTCAGTGTGTTCCTTTGCAGATCGGCATATCAGTTGAAATATTCCTTTTGTTTCCAAGTGGAACATACGGCTTCGAAAGACCAACAGCATTTCAATTCGTTCGCTGCAGTCTCTTTAGAGCTGGCTCCACCTCACACGATCTCCTCTGTATCCCACTAGCACCCATGTCCAAACTTGTCGTTTCCCAATCGGGTTCCACTCTAGAACCTGAAGTGTGATATCGCTCAAAAGTCTCCCTCGGAGTATGTCCAATCCATTTCCAATTTTTTTCAGTATACATAATCTATAGGTCCTAGGTTGATTCATAGACAGTTCCTAGGTGTCCATCCTTTTTGATGAGCCATCAGATCTTAACTATCACCAAGTGAAGGGAGACCTGTATATGAAAGTCTACAGTAGTCTGTTGAAAATGCTTCAAGATGACACATCCACCACGTCTATGCACTATAGAGAAATATTGAATGACTAGACATTAGTACTGAACATCCGAATCTTGTTCTTGATGATGATTGCAATAGGAATTACACACTGAATTCAGATTCTTGGTGGATTTGACATCCCCATATGTGCCGTCTGTGATTGGGAACCTAATGTCTAGGTAAGTGATGGAGGAGATTTTTCCCATTGATGTTGATTAGTGCTTATTGTTCTTGTTGCTGCTATTATATATAAATTTTTAATTAGAAATTTTTATTTAGAAGCTTGCCTTCAAAGGTGATGATACTGCCAGTAGAATAAGATGCAGACTGAACGCTGCCCTGAAAAGAACATATCCAGCCGCCAAGCTTGTATGTGTTTATCAAACAATTAGTTGTTTGTGACAATCAAAAGTGGACAAATACCCACCTCCTGTTACCTCCAACTGTATCTACCGATTTATATGTACGTGCCAAAGCACATACATTGGAAGAACAGAGAGAAGGATTATTGTCCGCATTTCTGAACACATACCAAAGAACCTGAGACTGAAAAGTCCGCAAGCATTAAATAGTGTGATTGCCCATCATCTATTGGACACTGATCATATTGTAGACAACCTGAGGTCGTTCAAAGTAATCAACAAGCAAAAGCAACTTAACTTGCTACGCTTTGCTGAAGCAATTCCTATCAAACGACTTAAACCAAATCTATGTACGTAGAAAGAGACAGTGGTGAATCTTGCACTGCCCTGGTGATAACAAAATATACAACTTTTATGAGTCACCTTTTTTCTTGTTTAGAAAACTCTACTCTCTCATCTAAACATGACTCACCCTACCTTGTTCTTTTCTTTTTTTTTCTATTGGCTATTAGATTAAACATTTTCTTTGGTTACGTAATCTACCTTTTTGTTATGCTCTTTCTAGCTAAACCTTGTTTCTATTTTTTCCTTTCACGTTCCCCAGTGGAACACAGGGCTCCAAGCTAGTGCCTTGAAGTTTCTGTAGCAGTGTTTATTTTACAGGATGGGGTTGCTAGCCTCATGCCCAACCTTTCCTCTTCACCAGCATTATTTCTGGCTTAGCGAGGTAAAGGAGTGCGTCGGCCGGGGATCGAACCCCGGACCATGTGCATGGTCGGCGAGCGTCCTAACCTTTGTTTCTATATATATATATATATATATATACGCAACTCTGTTTTCTGTTTCCAAGCCTAATCGTCTAATTATTCTATAAATAGTCAGTGTTTGTAACTCTTAATTAGTTAAATCATTCCAGGCTAATGTAACTTTCACTTCCTACCAATTACTCCTTGTGATCGTGGAAAGGTATGTTCAAATCTTTAATGTAATGTAATTCATATTTTTTATCGTTCAGGTTGTAAGCCAGTTGAGAAGAATCCTCGAAATAATATTAAAGATGAGCTCATATTATCCTGGTACAATTGTTTTTCTTGCTTTGTTCAAGTTTTTATGTATTTATTAACTTACTGAGAATTTGTATAGGCGTTGAAATGTGATTGGTTCTCGTTTCGCTGTATCTCGTGATGAAAGACCTAAAGGAAAAGAGAGAGAGAAAAGATGAGAAATAGGTCGGGGAAAATCGACTGCTTCAATATCCTGCCAAAACGGATTACATAATATATATATATATATAATATAGAGAGAGAGAGAGAGTGTGTGTGTGTGTGTGTAAATATAACATACTAATGTACTGCATTATTATTATTACACATAAATTATTAATCTAATGATAGATGAATGAAAAGAAAAAGAGAAGGATTAGTAAAGAGTGGAATAAGAGACAATGGATTTACTTTACACTGAGATAAATTAAATAATCCCTTATTAGAACTTCAGTTTAGTTTAATGGTAACTAATCCACATTACACTTACACAGTAGTCAACCAGTTTATTAGTTAACATCTAACAAGACTGAGTCAACATTGTAGAAGAGAAAGTTGAACAATGAAGTTCCGTCTCATCAGTAGTAGTAGTAGTATCCACCTTCAACACTCTGAAATCAGTTTGGAAATCTTTTGCAATCAGCATAAAGAACCAAATTCGAATTTCCAACATCAGTGTAAATTAAGTTCTTCTATGGGGATCACAAACTTGGCATGTTAAGGAAGGCATTTTCGATAGGTTGCTGCAGCCTTTGGTCCATATTGTGGATCAAATGACCAGAAAGAATTAGCAAAAAGAAACTCTGGGAACAAATCAGTCAAGAACCGATCGGTCAATAGACATGCCAAAGAAAATGGAAATGGATTGGGTGTCCTGGCATGCCAGGCCATCGCTTGAGTAGAACCCAAATTGGAAACGACATGTAAGGCGTCAGTCTGAGGCAGCCCTGGAGGAGATCGTGACAGGAAGAGATTAAAGCCTATGTGTAATCATGGGATCCAGCTTAAGAGGACCACAGAGTATAGGACAACAAAGTGGAGACTTGTTGTTGAAGCGCTATATTGCACTCGGAACCCAAGGAGACAATACTAATAATACAATCATAATCAGTAGTAGAGCATAAAACGACATATATAAGGTGATAGTTCGCGAATTTTATCCGAAGGAAGGTTTTAGCTGTTTGGTTGGGTCACCAAAATGCTAAGAATCAATGGTTGGTTGAAGGCTATTGGTGAAATGTCTCAAAATCGTTCTCAATTAACGCAGATATTTTCACTCTTCATGAACTCCTACGTCCATCAAATTTTCCAAAGACTTATTTCCATTTTCATCCATATAATAAGGCTCCATCAAACTTTTTCTTCTCTACCTTTGTTATGCTATATGAAGTGCGATAACTTAAAATACTGCACACTCAGAATCAGTCAGAAAAACATTAGAAACTAGGAAGTTGTAAATCTTTGTCAGTCATATGGCCCAGTGACTCCAGCAAGAATCGAACTGATAATTTTTAGACTATGAGAAGAAATTGTTATCATTCGTGATCCGCCGTCGTATTTCGATGCATTTGCAGAATGATCACCTGTCCTCCTCCTCCAGATCAACTGAAGGTCTTAGGTTTCATTTCTGATAGAGTCATAACTGGTGAAACATCTATCCAGTGGTCTACTACAGTTTGCTGACAAGATCAGTCTTTAAGAACACTACCCCGTCATGCACTATTAGTCTGTTTCACCGAAACACACATACTAATAACAAATCAATAATGGATGTAAGATTAGAATTTGGACACTTTGGTAGAATACAATACCATATTAGATAAGTTTATGTTATGTAACACAGTTATTGTTAATTGCTTATATCCGGTATAGGAATTCCGTCATTTCGATTGCACAGATCTGATTCTGATTCAATGAAAAACAAATCGAAGATTAATTTCTCTCCTTCTCTACGCGACTATACTACTTCTACATACCCTTACCCGATTACACCCTATCGTGAAAATATGTGCAAGTGAATGCATTGCAATGGGTGAGCTTTTTTCTAGATTATTTAACTCACCAGCGTCAATCACTCTAGGTCCACCTAAATTTCTATGTTCCAACAATCTATTTGACCGTGATCTACTAGTTTGACCTACGAAATTGATCTCACAGCCATTACATTATTATTGTTCCCTTGGGTTCCGAGTGAAACATAGGGTTTCATCTTTTATTCTCTCAGCTAAGCTCTTCCGGTGGCTCCACCTTTGTCCATAAGCTTTCATCTCCTCCACGCACAAGGTCGTCCCCCTCGGACATGAGTTCAACTTGTCGTTTCCCACCCAATTTACACTAGAGAGTTTTCCTGGCGCGTGACGTCACTCAACGGTCTTCTCAGTGTGTGCCCGGTCTATCTCGACATCCCGCACAGCATATTTGTTGAGCGACAGGTTCTAAATTAGTTCCTTCCCAGAGTCTCTCGTTGCTAATTATTTCTCGCCCTTTGATCATCAATATGGATGGCTTCAGCGGAGATAGCAGTTGATAGAAGTCTGCAACTTGTTCAAAATGTTTTTCATGACTCGTGCGCAAAGTTTCAGAATCAGTCATACAGAAGAATTGACTGACTTAAAATTGGTGTTGAAAATCTGAATCTTGTTCTTCATGCTGGCTGAATGCAGAAGATTTCCAAACTCATTTCAGAGTGTTGAAGGTGTACCTTGCCTTTCTGATTCTGGTCTTGATGTCATCATACGTTCCACCTGTAGTTGGAACGATGCTTCCTAGATAAGTGAAGTATGTAACCTCTTTCTTCTGTTGACAGTGATGGATGCCTGTTGTTGTTGGTTGGTTGGTTGGTTGGTTATCTTCATCACCTTCATTCTCTCTATATTCCCTCGGAGTCTTGTCTTCGCCGCCTGTCTGTTTTGTCAGTTTGTTGGTTTTCGTCTGTAACCCTTCAAGTGTGTGTGACATTAGAAATAAATCTTCCACGCGTGAAATTCAGATCTCCTAGAGTCTTCTTATTGATCAGCCACTACGTAGTACTGGATAAATTATACTATTTTTCTTAAAACGGATCTGACGAGTACATCAGCTGACAAAAATTCCTCTTTGGATAAGTTGGTTGGTTTAAATGCCACCCTGACTCACTAAGAATTCTTTAAACGGCAGTGTTATCTAAGTTGGATTTCTTATTACTTATATTATTTTCATTATTATTATTATCATTTTTCTTACGGGTATATCCATACATCTTTGAGTATATCACGGTTAATTACGAACCGCAACAACAACCAGCACCAGTCACCATCAACTGCAGAGATTTAACAGAGGTTACTTCCTTAATTTATCCGACTCGGAACCAACGTTTCAACTACAGGCAGAACGGATGAAGATGTCAAAGCCAGTCAGAATCGGAAGGGCAAGATACACCTTCATCAACCTGAAACCAATTTGGAAATATTCTGCACTGAACATAAGGAACACGATTCGCATTTTCAACACCAATGTCAAGTCGGTCCTTCTATACCGGTCAGGAACTTGCACTGTGTGTAACGAGAAAGATTTCCAACAGACTACTGCAGACTTTTATCAACAGCTGCCCCCTTCGCTGGCTCTATACTGAACATCTAACAGCCAGCCGTCCAGAAAGAATTAGCAACAAGAAACTATAGCTGAGAACAAACCAACCAACCGATCGGTTGCTCAACAAATATGTAGGAGAAAGTGGAGATGGATGACAAATACATTGAGGAAACCGTCGAATTACATCGGGAGCAATGCAGACCATCGCTCGAGTGGAATCCAAATGGGAAGCGATGAGTGAGTCGTCGGTGCGACGGTGACATGGAGGAGACCCTATGTTGGGGGAGGAGGAGATGAGAGATTTTGGGCGATCGTAGACCTAGCTGAAGAGCACAGCAGAAACTAGAAGAAAGTGGAGATGTGTTGTTGAAGCCCTATGTTCCTCTCGGAATCCAAGGGAACAATAATAATAATGATAATGATAATATACGGTGGGTTATGCACTAGTACTATTTCCCTTATTTCTTTGATTTCATTGCTCAAATCTTCTGACTTACTAATTAGGCTCCTCCCTCAACTATACAGACATTTAACTAAGCTTATCTTTACCGATTCTAGATGGAATGAACTAACTGAACTTATGAAGAGTTAGTTTCAAGTATGACCACAGACTCCAGTAAGTGTGTGTACTGCTGATGAGTCCCAAACTAGGACAACGACACAGCTGTCTGACAGTGATTCACATTGACAGAAATAATTATTAATAATCAGAATATAAAGGGCAAAAAAAAACAGCAAAACACACACACTGATTACCTGATGTTAACCTTGGAGATTCATATGCAGCGACATGTGGCAGTGTTTCAGACTTTCCATGAGAACTTGTTTGAAAATATGAAACTGTACATCGTAAATTGTGAATGCCTAATTCTTTTAATTCATGACTAATCACAGCATTCAATGACTGGCCTGGATGTAAGTCGAAAACAGCATCACCAGGAGTAGTAGTAGCAGTAGTCGTAGGACTTGTATTTAAACGTGCATTATTATTAGTAGTATTATTATTACACGAACCATTCAGTGAAGGGCATACAGGTAGGGTTATTAATTCTGTACGATTGTGAAGAGCAACCTAAATTTTGTAAAAAGTATACTAACAATGTAAGAATAGAAAAGATACGTGTGTGTGTTGCATATATATAGATAAACGAAATAAAAATTAGCCAAACAGTCAGACGAATTGATTGAGTACAACGTGAATTTTAGGTAGCTAGGTCGATTGATTGGTAAATGACCCCATGCATTATAATTACACTTATACCATTAGATGTCTAGACAAAAGATTCTAGAAGATTTGGACTTCGCGGATAATTCATGTCTGGCGCCACATTAGTTCGAAAGCTTAGAGGCGAAAAACTAGAGTTTGGTGGAAGACAGGCTGTACAGATGGGAATTCAAGTGAACATAGAGAAGACGGAAGTGTTGAAGATAAGCAACCAACCAACTAATTAACAACAACAATGAGCACGGAAGAAATTTAAAAGAGGTCACACTCCCTTTATTTATCGATGAAGCATCACTGTAACTAAAGGCGACAACACAGATGAAGATCTCAAAATCAGAATCGGGAAGGCAAGGCAAACCTTCATCACTATAAATTTAGCCAGCACAAACAACAAAATTCTGATTTTCAGCACCAATGTGAAGCCTGTCAGTTCTCCTGTATAGGTCAAAAACTTGGCGAGCGCGTCACAAAAAGCATTTCCAACAAACCAATGCGGACTCTTATCAACCGCTGCCCCCATTGTTGGCTCCATACTGAAGATTAGATCGCCAGTCAGAAAGAATTAGCATCAAGGAGCTCTGGCAAACAACGAACCAATCAAGAGCCTATTGCTCAACAAATATACCAAAAATGGAGATGTATGGGACACACACTGAGGAGACTGTTTGGTGACATCATGCACCATGCCTTCGAATAGGAAACGATGACTTGGGCATGGATCCAAGGGTGACATGGAGGAGATCGTGTGAGGAGAAAATCAGAGGCAAACATGAGGCCTGGTGAAGGGGACTGCAGAGGACAGGACAAAGTGTGGATGTAGTACTGAAGCCCTATTTCCCACTCGACACACCATGGAAGGAAGGTTTCGTGTGCTTTTGGAGGTGTGTGTGGGGGGGCGGTTGCTAATTCCCGGTTGCCCACACTGTGGAAGTTGATTGATTCTTCGGGTACCTGAAACAGAAAGAGGGTTAGTGTTGCGTGACCTCAGAGTCCGAGGGACAACTGCTTGAAGCCGGTCACACACGGCCTGTATAAACTGGTTTCTTCGATTGGTTCCGTATTAGTAAATTTACCGCCAGTTACGGACCACCGTAGGGTAAGTCGGGATGTATAGTTTTTTGGGTCGACCTTTTCTAACCCCCTCTCTCCGGAGTGGAGAGACAGCATAGATGGCTGGCATGCTGGTCACCTGAGGGAAACACCTTATTGCTGTGACATCCCTATTCCCCAGAAGTACGACTTCGCCCAGAGACAGACCCCCAGCGTAGGATAAAGGAAAAATTCTTACACTATGTCGATGACCGCTTTTAGTCTGATCGCTATCCTAACAATCTTACTGGTATGGTAGGACCTGCAGGAACAATAGTTTCAGTCAGTGTAGCATGTTGGTTCATTGCGATATGCCAGCCCGGCGACCACCACGTCAACGTGGCAGCTATCGGTCGGGTGAGTTATAGGCGTAAAGTGTGCTTCCCCAACAACGAACCAGTCTTCAAGACATCGACTAAATCTATGCATAATTACACGTTACCAGTTTATTGCAGTCGAAAAGGTTCGTAGTCTTTCAGATGTGTTAAGCATGAAAAAAAATCCAAGACTGACTGACTGACTGATTGAGTTTCAACATAGACGTGTAGCATCTGCAAGTTGCCTCATCTCCCATACCATATAGGTGGAGGAAAGAAAAGAAAAAAAGAACCTGGGGATTCAAGAGAACCATATAATAAACAGAAATATGTGAGAGAAAGAATATCAAACTGGAAAAAAACATGAGGGTTTAATGGATATATATATATATATATATTCTATAGTTTGGTTTGTAAGGGTTAATTATGTTTTTACGAATTGATCACGGACTGATATCAGTTAGAGAACCATTGAAAACCAGGGAGTACTGGACAGCTGCTGTTTTATCCTAGTTTGAGAATCATCGGCAGTACGCACCCACTGGGATTCGAAACCAGGACCATCCGGTTACAAGGCAAGCTGGTATACCATTCAGCCACTGGGACCCGATTCAATGGCTCATGAATTCTAACTTCCACCAATTCGTGATTTAGCGTGACCCCAACCACTGTCGTTGGTGGGACATCCATCCACACACGTGACACCTAGTTGGACCTCACTGGTCACGACTTCTCACTATAACTCCAGGAAACTCCATCCTGTAGCAAGTTACTAGCGAGCTTGCCTTGTAACCGGAAGGTCCTGGTTTCGAATCCCAGTGGGTGCGTACTGCCGATGATTCCAAAACTAGGATGAAACAACTTCCCAGTACTCCCTGGTTTTCAATGGTTCTCTAACTGATATCAGTCCGTGATCAACTCGTAAATATATATATATATATATATATATATATGCTGTATTTTGAATAAAAAAGTGGTTGTTGTCGTTGTGGTTGCTGTTATATCTAACTTCTGTGTCTAATCTCAGAGTGGGAAATCTTTTCAAGTGATGTAATGTCGTGTTTAAAGGCATCACCTCTTCTAGTCAAGTAAGACGACAAACACAGAATCAGTAACAATCTTAAATAACACTTGTTAACCGCTTTTATTTAGGCTGTGGGTTGATTATTCGAATTCACGCATATACAGTACGGTATTTGACAAATTTATGCAGGAGAATAGTGCAAGCGTTTATGAATAAAACTCTAATTGATGCCAACTGAGTCTTCTGTAAACTTCATCTTTGCTGGTATTTCACCTACATGAGTTTTAAAATAATTATGGCGTTTTCATACTCCGTAGAATATACTACCGAATAAATATAAGTAGTTAAGAACCGCTCACATCAACGTCGGTGGCATAGCGGTTAGGACGCTCGCCGACCATGCACATGGTCCGGGGTTCGATCCCCGGCCGACGCACTCCTTTACCTCGCTAAGCCAGAAATAAAGCTGGTAAAGAGGATAGGTTGAGCATGAGGCTAGCAACCCAATCCTGTAAAATGAACACTGCTACAGAAACTCCAAGCCACTAGCTTGAAGCCCTATTTTTGACACATCAACACAGTGGTGCTCAATAATTGCAAGAATTTGATTGGTTTCAAGTCTGATCATCGTTCGATATCAGTTAGAGAACCATTGAAGACCAGTAGGGAGCACTGGATAACTGTTTCGTCCTGGGTGGGGACTCTTCAGTAGCACTCACCCATGGACCCACCAATGATTAAATCCAGTACCTTTGAGTTACGTGATGAGCGCAATGACCGTCCAACCACTGGTCTTATGTTACCATGCATGTTGAAGGAATCTTATTATAAGAGTTGATTCTAAGCAGAAATCTTCGAATGTTTGGCAGGCGTTCTGCTGCTGTCAAATATAAGACTGGACTGGACTACACTGACTCACTCCTAGCCTAAAGATAGGGAGTGAAGTGGTAGAGCGTGTTGACCACTTCACTTATTTTGGAAGTCGCATCAGCCGTAATAGGTTGATCGCTGACGAAATCTCAGCATGGGTACAGAAGCCTCGTGTGGCATTTGACAACTTATGCCATCTCTGGTGTAGGTGTTATATCCGGATGGCTATCGATCAAAGGACGTGTACTGCTCAGCAGTTCGCTACATCCTTCTCTATGGCTGTGAGAGACACACGACCATTGAAATTGGAAGACATGAAATAGCTAGCTGTCTTTGATCATAGATAGGTGCCTGCGTTCTATCTCCCGTGTTAAGTGATATAAGAAGGTGAACAATATTGAGGTTAGGCCTCAGTGGAGTGTTAGGTAAGGCGGGGAAATCAGTAGACAAGTTTGTAAAGCTACACCTATTAAAATGTTTAGGACATGTATTACTCATGCCTAGCCATTGCCTTCCTCGACCGACGGTCAGTGTTAGCTAACATAGGATGGATCAGGTTAAAAAAAAGGAGCTAGTGGTGCTCAAACCAAAATATGGATGGCTTCATCGGTCAGTGGAATCTTTAACAGTTAGTTTAAGCCAGCCAGCCAGCCGCGTAGGAAGGTGCAGACCTCCTGACTGATTTGGATCCTCGGGATGGTAAAAACCAATGGCTGAAGATGACTGGTGCTATTGCTCAAAATCGTTCTCAGTGATGACTCAGATGCATTCACTCTTTTAAGTTTTTCATATTCAATAAAACTCCACTGTTTTTCCATATTACTATTCTTTTTCGCCTCACACTTCTGTGTCACATCTGTCTTTTGAATCCGTCTTTATTCTCTTCTCTTGTTTTTTTTCGTGGTACACGGACATCCGTACAAAGTTCCATGTTGAAACCAGTCAGTTAATCAGCCAATCTCAGAGATTGTAATTTACCAAGAGGCGGAGAAACTGTTCTTTAAACGTTTTTAGTGATACCTGGTTAGGGAATGTAAAGATGTTTCCCTTAATCACCTTCACTTCAGATAATCGCTGTTTTAATTCCTCTTTTATTAAATGAATTTAAATTAATTCCTTTTAAATACAGGAGGATTCACCCATCCCACTAACCCCTTTAGTGTGTTGCTTGCTAAAATAAGCCTGAAAATGAATTAGATAGATTATGTCAGTCAAACGGTAGGTAGAGTGGATGGGATTAACTAAGTGTATTAGTACACTTGAATAATTTTCTCACTTCAATGAGTGTGTAGCGCTTATTTCTGGGACACACACTGACTTCACATGGATATATCTCAAGTCATGTGCCTAGTTGTTCTAATTTCTCAGACAGAATAAAAGTGCCAATATTATTTGAGTGGAATTTCAATCATACACTGTTCTTATATCTCCAGTAAAGTAAAGTCGTACAAACACACCAGCCTATGTGACAGCAACACATAAAAGACTCTTCAGAATTCAGTCACGCGTACACATAGACAAATCAGTGCCATTTCCCTTGTCCATCTGTCAAAATGTTGATATAAAATTGGCTATAGAAAAAACTTGGTCGGAAGTTAAAGAAACCATAAATCTTCATTTATTGTTGCAAAACTATAAATATTATTATTATTGTTATTAAATGTTTTTCCAGTTGAATGCCTGCCTCTTAAGATTAAATATAAATGATTTATTAGTTTAGATCACATATATTTTGGTTGTGGATGTTGTCGGTGGCAATATATAAATGTTCTGTCTGATTTTTTAATGGTCAGAAGTGGGTAAATTTTCTATACACTCTGTTTATTTCCTTGATATAAATTGAAGAAGGCAAGAGTGAATATAGACATATATATGTACACTGGGTAAATAGGTCTGGCTTCCGTTCAACCACTAGCAGCAGCCTTATTGTTATTCCATGGGATGTCACCCCACCCATAGCTGCCACCTTGACGTGGTGGTCACTGGACTGGCATATCACAAAGAACCAACATCCTACACTGGCTAGAACTATTGTTCCTGCAGGTCCTACCATGCCAGTAAGATTGTTAGGATAGCGATTAGGCTAAAAGCAGTCACCGACGTAGTGTAAGAATTTTTTTACACGATGCTGGGGGTCTGTGGGCGAAGTCGTACTTCTGGAGAATAGGGATGTCACAGTAGTAAGGTGTTTCCCTCATGTGACCAGCATGCCAGCCATCTATGCTGTCTCTCCATTCTGGAGGGGAGGGGGTTAGAAAAGGTCGACCCCAAAAATTATACATCCCGACTTACCCTACGGTGATCCGTAACTGGCGGTAAATTTACTAATACGGAACCAATGCGAGAAACCAATTCATACAGGCCCCCTGAGCGCAACATTAACTCCAAGAATCAATCAACTTCCACAGTGTGGTCCCGCTGGGAAGTAATGACCGCCGCCCCCTCCAGGCCATACACACACACACTTCCAAAAGCACCCGAAGCCCTTCCCGTCAGTCAGTGATAAAATTCACCGACCAGAATTTAATCAGGCATAATCTACCTATAAAGCTAAAAAATACCTGTGCCGTGAAATTATTCAACTGTAAATCTCCCCTTAAATTTGAATCAGCCAAAAGAAAAAACAAGTAATCATCTACGCTAACAACACGTAGAGAGAGACAAAAAAAGGATTTTCAAATTCTCGTGATCAAATGATGAATAAGAAAAAGACGAAGGCTATTATTATTCAACCTTGGCTTGCATCATACAGTCTATATTGTAAAGATTAAAGAAATTATTACATCAGCATATATATATGTAACAATATGCATATAGATTCACACGTATAGAATTTGCTTACTTTCAATTCAACATTGTAACAAATTTGATTACTTTCATTGTGTAAATTAACATGAGCTGAGAATGTTTCACCCAGATACGTAGTTCTAAAATGAAAAAAAAGTAAAACAAAACAAAAAACAGCACACAATTGTATCAATATATCATTTCTGTCGGAATTTTTCTTCTCAAGTTATTATATTAGACTTCATGTAGAAAGTATTCCTGCTTTCAGTAGTAGCTGCTCCCACACACACACACACACACATAAGCACAACTAAAAATAAAACAAACAAGGCAGTTTGATTCAGTCTGGAAAGTTAACTTCTTTTTAAAAAAATGATTGACAGATGTTCAGCCAACATATTAATAGACTATCAGCCGAGAAACAACAGACACATAGATATAATTATCAAGTGCTGGTTTGCAGGAACTCGACTGGTTACAAATTTGGTAACGAGAACCAATGGAAAACCTGGGAGTACTGGACAGTTGTTTCGTCCATCGCCTATCGCATTGTCTGACAGTTACGCTCCGTCCTCCTTTATGGCTGTGAGACGTGGCCATTGAGAGTGGAAGATATGAAAAGATTAGCTGTCTTCGATCATAGGTGTCTGCGATCTATCTCCCATGTGAAGTTGCATAATAAGGTGAACAATATTGAGGTTAAGCTTCGGTCAAGTGCTAGGTAAGGAGGAGAAATCAATCGACGAGGCTGTGAAATTACATCGACTGAGATGGTTGGGAGATGTGTTACGTATGCCTAGTCATCGTCTTCCTCGACACTGGGCAGTGTGAGCTGACATAGGATCGATCAGGTTGGAAAATAGGTACTGTTGGTCAAACCGAAATATGGCTCCATCAGTCAATGAAATCCACAACAGTTAGTTTAAGCTAGCCATGTAGGGAGGTGTAGACTTCCTGGTTGGGGTCCTCGGGACGGTAAAAATCAATGGTTGGAAACAGTTGGTGACATGACTCAAAGTGATCGTTCTCAATGGTTGGCGCAGATGCATCCACTCCTTGTGAATTATGATTTCCAATGGAACTATATTGTTCTTCTTTATTACTACTCCTTTGTCTGACACCTCTGTTTACTGACGATATTATGCATTTCTTCTACTTTCTTCTCTTGCTTTGTATGCTACATGGAGTGTGGTGACTTGAACTGCCGCACATATGTGCAAAGTCCTATGTCGAAAACAGACAGACAGACAGTTACGCTACGTATATCACGAGTAGGCAGTAGTTGGGATTCATGGGTCCCAGTGACTGGATGGTCTATGAACTCTCCTTGCAACCGGAATGCCCTGGGTTCAACCCGCTCCTCCACACTGGGTGTGTACTGGTGAGGAGTCCCAAACTAGAACGAAACAGCTGTCCAGTACTCCCTGGTGGTCTTCCAATAGTTCTTTAACTAATAGAAAAACAATTGTTGATGTGTCTTTCCCACTGATAATGTGAAGTAAAATTCAGAGATATCTGATAGAAAACTACCTAAAATTGGAACTTCAGTAAGCACCATTGAATAATATGCTGACTGATATTGAGGCTAGGGGTAGGAATGTTAAGTAAGGAAGAGGAGTCAATCGATAAGGTTATGTAGCTACATCAATTGAGCATGTCGAGCCACCACCACCACCTTCCTGGATGAGCAATACTAGCTGACGACATAGCAATAGTTTGGAAAAGAATTGATGTTGTCATTATCTTGAGCATGTTTGACATGCATGTCGTCACTAATATTCAGTTTATCCAATACCATTCTGGAATGATTGTCAGGTCAAATGCATAGGTCAAAGTGGTAGAACGGGGGCAGTCAGACTAACCGAGCATAAAAACCTAGCAGCAAAATCTAGATTAGTTGGCCCGAATAAGATAAGAAATCAGGAAAACAGTTCAGCCATACCAATCACTACATGTAATTGCACAAAACCACAAAATACGACGGATGGGATAAGATGACATTTTAACATCTAATGTAACATGGTGGAGGGATAGATTGATAACAGAAGCTTTATTTATCAAATCAACTGCAAATAAGTGTAATCGGAATGATTCAACACCTGTCGCAGATATCTGGAAAATTCTACTACCCCAACGACGACAAATAGGAGAAAACAAAGAGAACTATAAAACTCAAGTTTCGAAGTCGTGTGATTATAACTGATATGATTATGAATGATAAATTTTGTTCGAAACTTTGTCATCTAGTAAGTAATACTGTTTGACGCTGTGTGTGATATATCTTATAAACAAACTAATATGGAATTACTTACTACCACAAGTTTCACACATACAATTATAAGAACCAACACACAATCTATCACTTAACAAATTTGCAGAAGAAAATAGAAATATATCAAGCATCCGTTGAATAGGACATGTAGGGACAACGCGAGCCAGGCTCTTGAATGGAACTCGAATGAGAAACAACCAACTGAGAGTCCAAGAGTGAAATGGAAGAAATCGTCTGAAGAGAAAATGGAAGCCTACAGGAAATCGTTAAGCCCACTGAAAAATGGAGATTTGCCACCAAGAACCCATGGAAATAATAACAATAATTATTATTATTACTAATATAAAACAATACAACTCAGAGTATTCATTCAATTTGCTTTACTGCCTTCTTAACTTACCCAAAAGAATGCGGTAAGCTCAAAAGTTCACTGAATCCACCAACTTTCGGTTGAAATGAATCATAATTCCTTTTATCAATGTTTACTTTATTATTATCACTATTGGAGAGTTGTTCATCAGAATTAGCAGCAGTAGCGGCAGCAGCAGAGGTAGGCAAATTTCCGGTCGATAGAAAATTTAACGCAATACCATCAAGATTTCCACGAATACCTGCATCAGCTGCGGTTAAACATCCAGCTATATCATCCACGTAAAGTTCAGCTGGTTCACATTGTTGTCGAACAAAAGTTGGACGATTTAATCGCATAACTAAAATGAAAATAGAGAATAAATGAATAAGAGGATATTAATTTTTTCTCTCACTTGACTAAAACTTCTCACTAACAGTGTAGCACAAAACATGCGTTTCGGTTTATATGGGACTCGTTAGCTCGGTGTACTGGCATCCCTAGGAAGTAATAGCATCCCTACCGGGCTTCGAACCCAACGCCGATCATTTCAAACGTTACATCTTCATCCACCAGACCATTGAACGACGAGAGCCACCTCCTGCGCAACAGGCATCGAAAGTTTTTTGTTGAAATAGACTTTTTTGTTACACAATCGTTAAAACCTACTGTGTAAATACCGAAAAACACGTCTCCTAAAGGTTAACAGGGAAATACCAATATCCTGATAAAGTTTGCGCTGAGGATGTCTACAAGGGTAATGAAACAAGGCTTCATAATGCAACCACCCAGGTAAGAAGAGAACGTGACTACTTTCAAAAAAACAAAATCTCAAAGTGACCGCTTACATACACAAATTGGAAAATGAATAAAAACAAAACAGAAGAAAATATTTTCGCTTTGATCGATAAACAAAGAATAATTTTGAACTCAATTTACGACGTATTCTTTTTTTACCTTTTTCCAAAGACAACAAACATAGAAAGAAATGATTGTTTTCAAGAAATCGGGAAAAAGTTGAGGAAAAACTAAGCGAAAAAAAAAATAAGACAGGGTTGGAAAAAAATGCGAAGAACGGGATACATGTTCTGAATTAAATAATATATATTTGTTATTGTTCCCTTTGGTTCCGAGTGGAACAGAGGGCTTCAACAGAATGTCTCCACTTTGTTCTATTATCCTGCGGTCCTCTTTGGTGGGGCCTACGATCGTCCATAATTTCTGATCTCTCCCCCCGCACGATCTACTCCATGTCACCCTCAGACACAAGCTAAACTCGTCGTTTCTTACTCATATCCCACTCGGGTGCTGGTCTGGTGCACCATGTCGTTCGATGGTCTCCTCAGGGTGTGCCCAACCTATCTCCATTATACTCCACGATATATATATCCAGAGATACCTTCTTGGTCAGTTTATTCCACGAGTTTCTTGTTGCTAATTCTTTCTGGGCATTTGATCTTCAATATGGGGCGAAGGCAGATGTTGATAAAAGTTTGTAACCTGATTGCAATGCTTTTCGTAACGTGCTAAGTTTCTGATCCATACAGAAGAACTGAGCCCTGAATATTTCATATATATATGAGTCGATCTGACATAAGTATTGAAAACCCATTTAGTTCTTTATGCTAGGTGCATAAGTTTGCCAGGTTGATTTCAGAACGATAAAGGTCTGTCTGATAAGTCCTATGTCCAAGGCACTCTACTCAAACTCACGTAGCTGTGTAAGGGCTTATGGGGAATTGTCATCTGAATTGATAACAACCAGTGGTGTCCGTCAAGGATGTCCACTTTCCCCTTTTCTGTTTAACTTCATCATAGATATGCTAATGGAAGTATCCTTAACTGAACTTAACGACTTAGGAATCGACTTGTTACCAGGGAATAGTCTTATGGACTTAGAATATGCAGACGACATAGTCCTGTTAGGGGAGGATGCTGACAAAATGCAGAGTCTTCTGAACACCTTGAGCAGCAATCTTCGTATGTTTGGCATGCGATTCGCCCCTGTAAAATGTAAGATGCTGCTACAGGACTGGACTACGTCAACTCCTAGCTTAATGATAGGGAGTGAAGTGATAGAACATGTTGACCACTTCACCTATTTGAGAAGTTGTATCAGCACCAACGGACTGATTGGTGACGAAATCTCAGTACGGATCCAAAAAGCTCGGGCTGCTTTCGCTAACTTACACCATCTCTGGCGTAGGCGTGACATCCGGCTATCAACCAAGGGACGTGTGTACTGCTCAGCAGTTCGCTCCGTCCTTCTCTATGGCTCTGAAACATGGCCAATACGAGTTGAAGACATGAAAAGGTTGTCTGTTTTTGATCATAGATGTCTACGAGCTCTTTCTCACGTTAGGTGGTATAATAAGGTAAGTAATGTCGACGTTAGGCGTAGAGTGTTAGGCAAAGAGGGAAAATCAATCGACGAGGCTATAAAATTACATAGATTGAGATGACTAGGTCACGTGCTGCGCATGCCTAACCATCGCCTCCCCCGACGGACGGGCATTACTAGCTGATATAGGTGCAGGTTGGAAAAGAGTAAGTGGTGGCCAAACAAAAACATGGCCTCATCAATCCATGAAATCCTTGACAGTTAAACTGAGTCAGGTAGGGAGGAGATGCAGACTTCCGGGTTGGGGCCCGCCCTCGGGACTCTAAGAATCAATGGCTGGAGACAATAGGTGATATGGCTCAAAATCGTTGTCAATGGCCTACGCAGATGTATTCAGTCTCTGTAATCTTTCATATTCCTTTCTACCATTACTCATTCTGTTTCACTCTTATACTTGTCAAAACTCTATTGATTCTCTTCACTCATCTTCTTGTCTACCTTCGTGTGCTATTTGGAACGTGGCAACTCGAAATGCTGCACTTCGGTGCCAAGTTGTATGTTGAATCCAGACAGATATGTCCTATCCAGGCTTTGATGTCTTATTTCTGTACTTCAAACGATACTGACTCAAGTTTAAGAAGTGATTTCCTTCAGATTTCACTCATTAACATGGACTGGTGATTGCTGTCGTTGTTGGTTAGCTGTCTTCATCACCTTCGCATTCTCTATGTTCACTTGAAGTCCCCAACTTCGCTGCTTCTTTTGTCAACTTGTAGGTTTTTACGTGTAGATTTTTGAGTGTGTGTGTGTGTGTGTGTGTTCTCGAAGTCTGGATCACATAATTCACATTTCAGCATAATTGGGTTGTATCAACAGTCATTACAAAATAGGTCTAAGCTGAGTTATCCTGAACAGATTATCATTATATATCATTCATGGAGAATTCAAACAATCTATATTAAAGCTTTAACTGAAGGTGTTTGTATTTTTGAGGACATCAAATTCACAGGAGAGAAGAAAAATCAGTTGAAAAAAAAACTTGCCAATTTTAAATGTCTTAGTCAATTGAACAAAAAGAGATTTGCAGAAAATCAACCCACACAAAGACCAAATATATATTCACCTACAACAGCAATAATCCAGTAGAAACTGTGTGCGGACATCTCTTTTAAAGGAGTTCAACCATAATGCAGAGAATTCCAGTGCTGAAGGGAACAGACGATAAAGTCTACTAACTGTGTCCTCACGAAAAATAAATACCCCACACAATTGCATCGAACAATGTTTAAGCTCAAATCGAAATTAGGTGAAACCTTTAAAGTTACGTAATACGTAAAGTTTAAGTGAACAGATTTTTTGGTAATTCATACAGTCGATGGATCACTGATTTGAGTCTCCCCACATCTAGTTTACCTCACACGATAAGAGAGTTGGCACTAGCTATTTGATTGGTTGTGTTCTATATCGTATCTAAATAATATAACTTGTTTGAATTCTCTATGAATATGATATAATTTTATATACGTCTTTGATAACAATAAATCAAAAGAAATAAATCAGAAAGGGTGGGAGGATTTTGATTAGAATTTAGCTAGGCCAAGAGAGAGAGAGAGAAAGGCAGAACAAACTTCTTTTGTTGTATACAAAGACTAGGATTGTTCTCTCGAATTAATTCCCATAGCTTTGGCTGTGTGTAGAAGGCGGGTTTGAATTGTATTCGAAAGGCTCGATGGAATGCGATAGATAACTTTGAAGGCACTACTTCAGTCCACTTGGTGACTGTTATCACCAATCAGATGAGTCAAAATAGAACTTCTTATAGATTTTATTTGGCCTTTTCCGAACCATGAAGGAAGATGCTCATTAATGTGTTTGTTAAGCTGTCCAGTTGTTCTCCCAATATAGCTCCCTCCACAGGAGCAACTAAATTTGTAGTTACACATAGAAGTGGCACAGCTAGGTAGCTTGTCTTTCTTTTGAGGAATCATAATTAGTCGGCTGAAAAATGACAAACAAAGGCTGGCGACGGTATAAGTTCGTTTTATTGCTCTCGATAATCTTAGATTGAAGACTTCACTAGTGGACAGAAGTAATGCCTTCAAAGTTATCTATCACATTCCATCGAGCCTTTTGAACGGAATTCAAACCCGCCTTTTACACATAGCCGAAGCTTTCGGAATTCGAGAGAACAATCCTATTCTTTGTATACAACAAAAGAAGTTTGTTCTACCTTTGTCTCTCTCTCTTGGCCTAGCTAAATTCTAATCAAAACCCTCCCACCCTTCCTTATTTTCCATTTCCTTCGTGTTTTAATGATGTTTATTTAAGCTCTGATTATCAACAGAAACGTAAATTGATAAACAATCACGATAGTGGTCAGGAGACACAATTATATCATCATTCATAGAGAATTCAAACAAGTCATATTAAAGCTTGCGCTGAAGATGTTGTCTAGAAAGACGATGAAACCTCCGCAATTACATCAACCAGCTCAGAGAACACAACCCAATTCAAAAGATTAGCTAGGCATCCGGCCAAAAGCTACTCCTATCGTGTGAAGGTAAACTAGATAGATGTGCGGGGGAGGACTCAAACCTGTAACCCATCGACTGTATGAATTACAGCCCCAGCTAGATAGAAAAAAATCTGATCCAAATAACTGAATTCTAACAACTTGTTTTTTTCCCGACTCACTCGACATTTAAATAAATTGGTACAGTTAACAGACATACGTGTTCAAAACAACAAAAATCAATGTGAATAAAATGAAAACAAACAACTGATTTCACCGAAGAGACTATTTCTTTGTTCAACGGATTTATTAATATCAAGCTGTATCTGGTGTTTGTTCGTTTTTGCTTTTTGAAGAAATAATAACAGAGTGAATTCCGACATATCACTCAGCATCAACAACAAAATTCGGATTTTCAATACAAACGTCAAGTCAGTCACTTCTTCTATACGGATCAGAAACTTGGCGGGTCACAAAGAATATTTCCAACAGCCTGTTGCAGACCTTTATCAACAGCTGTCTTCGTTCTATACTGAAGATCAGATGGCCAGAAAGAATCACCGAGAAGAAACTATGGGAACAAACAAAACAAGAACCAATCGCCCAACAAATATGCAGGAGAAAGTGGAGATGGATTGGACACTCGCTGAGGAGGCCATTGGGTGACATCTCGCGTCAGGCCAGTGCTCGAGTGGAAGCCGAAAGGGAAGCGGCGAGTGGGACGTCCAAGGGTGACATGGAGGAGATTGTGTGAAGAGGATTTGAAACAGTATGGACTAACATGGATGCAGGTGAAAAGTACAGCAGAAGACAGAAGCAAGTGGAGACGTGTAGTTGAAGCCCTATGTTCCACTAGGAGCCCAAGGGAACAATGATAATTATAATAATAGATGATTAGATTAAGTAATTCATAAAACAGCTTATGGAATGTATAAATTTTAGATATGGTATTATTTAATACAATTTGAACTTAACCTTCGACTGATTGGACCGAATTGTTCGGCACAAGGAGCTGATACATGTCAATAGAGGTCGAATACTTCGGTCAAATCAATCAACGGGCCAGTCCAAATTGAATTTAATAGTAACCGATGCACGTTGCACAAGATGCAACGGCTCTTGTGGCCCAAATGGTCTCGTGGATAACGCTTTGGCGTTTGAAACTACAGGTACTGGGTTCGAGCCTCAATGGCAACACCACGACTCACTGAGGAATATAGGTACAGCCAGACGACGGGTCCCAAACAGGACGAAATGCGCTATCTGGATTCCATTGATAGCCACCATCCACAAAAATACTAGAAATGCCCAATAAGAACACTATTGCATACTTACATACGTGATTGTACAGCTTGATAATAAATCCGTTGAAAAAAACGTCTCTTCGCTGAATTACTTATTTTTATTTTCTACACAACTCCGCCTCAATGATGATGGCGGCATATTTGGCAGAATTAAGAAAATGAGTCTAAGTCATATCATGCAGATATGAAAAGGACGTTTCGAAGGATTTACTTCATGAAAAGGATTTTGCAATTCCTACCTTATCACCCATATTGAACATGTACCGAAAGGTCTACGTCTCAAGGGAACAAACGCTTACAACAGAGTCATTTCTAGGTATCTCATCAATACAGGTCATGAGGTCGACATCGCAAAATCCTTTAAAATTACCAATCGACAAAATAGCTCAATATTCCTCAGGTTTGCCAAAACAAACCCTATCAAACGCCTGAAACCCGCCTTTATGTTCAGAAAGAAGAAGTTATCAGTTTTTTCTCGCCCACTTGGTAACTGGATGTGTTTATTCTCTCCCACATTTGATTGCGTAATCTTTGCCTTTAACCTCACCCCCCTTTGATGTAGTATAATTTTGCTTCTCCTTCGTTTCTATGATTTGACTTGAACTGAGTACACTGTTACCCAAGTTATCAGTTACTCATCATCTTACTCACCTCATCTTTATTGAGTAACTCTTCTACCATTGTATGCATACATTTACTTTGTTTAAACTTGAATAGCGTCTGTAAAAATTACATAAGCGTAATTTTCTGAGCATTGTTCATTAAGTATGGAACCTCCTGTCAACTGACATCATGTGAAAATTGCAAGTATATTAAAGCCGTTTCTGTACACAAACTTAATAATATATTTAGGCTGTAAGCGGATGATGAAAAGCCAACAGAATAAACAGTGATGGTACCATACTGCTCTGCATAAACTCTTGCTCTTGCTTTATTTAAAATCAAGTTTATATCCATAAGCTGTTGGAAAAGTAACACGATTTCATTGATAAAAATAATCATACTTTCGACGTGGAAATACACTTGTCCTGGGATAATTAGTAGCTCGACTTTCGGTAAAGATATCACAAGTAAAAAAATACTTTCAACTATGCAAACGTCATGGTATAAAAACAACCAAACACAATACAACAGGAGGGTACACGTGTATATTTTAATTAAAAATGTGTCACCATTCTATTTACCTTGTTAGAAATACATTTGCCAACTGACTGACACAATAATATAACTTAAGCAGTCTTCCTAAAAGTGTACAAATCAAACTTCTTGAAAATAACGAAAGAGGTGATGGCAATTCTTCACTTGCTAAGTCCTGAACTCTGCATACAGAAGAAGTGCGTTCAATGACTACATTTCCAATAGACGTAATCTGTCTTAATACCCAACAGGTAAATTCTATTTCTTTCTGTCTCTTAATTAGTATTATTTTGTCTTTTCAATTGTAATATTTTATATTTTCAACTTTTCTGTTCTATACCCCTACCCGATTTAATTTCTATACCTCATTACCACTGTTAGCGACTTGACCAACGCTCAATTTCTAGTCATTTATGTTACATCATCTAATTTATTTGTTCATTATTAGTCCTAATTTAAATGGCATTACTCCCTACCCCACCTATACTTAGTCTCTACCTGTAATTACCTCTGTTGCTACCCGACCTAAGCTAAAACATTTTAGTCAGTCATATTACGTCACCTAACTTACTAACTCAATCTTACTTTACTTGCTGTCTAATTAACCTTGTTTCTATATTAGATCATTTTTGCGTTACCTAATTAATTATCTAAACTTGACAAACCTCATATACACACACACACACAAATAATTGTATATAAATACGATTGTACAGCTATGTGAATGAATTCGCCGAAAAGTCTCTTCGCTGAATGTCTTCTCTTTTTCATGACTCAGTGAGGATTTCTAAGCTAATAAACAGAACTCTACCACAGAAGTACAGTAGTTCAAGTTATCACACTCCATGTAGTACACACACACGTAGTGAAACGAAAACAAAAATTCAGAAGAACTATAACCAGATCAAAAATGTACGGAAGAAAAAGTAAAATCAAGGGGATTTAATAGATATGGCATATCTCAAAGTGTTAATGTATCTCTGACATTAAAAACTATTTTTAGCCTTATCATCAACAGTCTCCAGCTATTGATTCTTAGCATCCCGAGGACCTCAACGAGACAGTCTACATCTACCTACATGACTGACTCAAACCAATTGTTAAAGATTTCATACACTGATTCCAGATTTCGGTGTGACCAGCCCTAACTTATCAGTTAACGCTGGTCCTTCAAAGAAGGCGATGCCTTGGTATGTGCAACACGTTTCCTCCACACCTTAGTCGACGTCACTTCACAATTTTATTGATTGACTCATCTTCCTCACCTCACTCTTCACATGTGTAACCACTTAACACGGGAGATGGAATGCAAACATCTGTGATCCAGAGACAATTAACCTTTTCACATTTTCCATTGTTAATGAACATGGCTGACAACAATACACAGAGACAGAATATTGCTGACTGATTTATCGATTGACTCAATTTTAAAAATTAAATGCAAGTGATACAAGAATAAAGTAGACATAAAGTCGAATTATATACAGAGAATTGTGAATCAAAATGAGAAGCAAGTGAGTAATGATCACAGAACTCAGCTGCAAACTGGTTACTTGAATAAGATTAACAAATCTACTTTTTGATTACAGGATTTCATCATGAGCTGATATCGGTTAGAGAACCATTGGAAAACCTACTGGGAGTACTGGACAGCTGTTTCGTCTGCCTAGTTTGGGACTCTTCATCAATACGCACCCACCAAAGAGGGTTCGAACCCAAGACCTTTTGGAGATAATCATAAACGAGTGTACTTCACATTTTCCCCTCATACATGCACTGGCAACTGCAAAGAATACCCACCGAAACCAAGTACCTGTCAAACAGTCTCGGACGACGCATGCGAAAACAGTAGACAGTACACCGTATCCATATCCCAATCTAACATTAACCTAGCCTCATCCAAAAGACAACCCTAAGTGTTAAACTATCAGGATGGGAAAATGCTATCACATTTTCGTAAACAGTATTCATGTTAATGAAGGGATACAGAGGAGATAAACACGTTGAGATGCCCGATCAATGTCATTGCACGCTAGGCTAGGTTAGGTCATCATTCGAAAAAGAGCCCGAATGGGAAACAATGAGTTGGGCGTTGGTCCGAGGTTAACATGGATGAGATTGTGTGAGATGTGAGCCAATGGGCAACGGCGGAACCAGTTAAAGAGGACAATAGAGAACAGGATAAAATGGAGAGGTGCTGTTGAAGCCCTTTGTGTTCCGTTGGGAACCCAAAAAAGAAAAATATTAATAATAATAATAATAAATCGTAAAGGAAGACACTCGTGTTCACGATTCCTAGCATTAACAAACATTCAGTTTAGCATTAACGGAGGAAAAAAGGCCCAAATATTCTTAATTCACCACACAGGAATAACAACAACAACAACACCGACACCAACTACACGAAAACCAGGCATCATCACCTTCTGTTTCAAGGACACACACACACACACACATGTATCGTTCAAAAATCGATAGGATGGATCATTTATTTTAAATAGGTTCAAAATAGGCTATTTCAGTGAAACAAAATCATGATCCAATGTGCATGCGTTTGTATATATATATATATATATATATATATATATATATATATAAATGTGTCTGTATTCTAGGATAATGAAATGACGTGGTGATAGGCAAGGTATCTCTTCTACAATTGTCCAGTAGTTATGCAAGCATACCACCCACCCACCCCCTCTTTTTTTAAGGCCATATGGAAAACGGGAAATAAAAAAGAAAACAGAATCAGAAAGTAAAACGAATAGTGATTGGCTGTTTCGCAGAACAGGAGAAAATCAAGCATACGCTAGTATATTATAATATTATTATATAACACACATACACGTACACACACACACTGACATTAGCAGCATTTAGCTACAAACAAACTAGATTATTTGATCTCATCTAATTACATCACACACACACACACAAACAAACACGGGAGAAAGAGACACATGCAGATGTGGACGACAACAAGAAACACCGTTAGGATTATTATTAATATTAATAAATGACCTCATACTGTATGTATTAAACAGTAATCTTGTTACCTTTGGTGAAATAGTCATGAAATGTGAGGAAAATTGATTTTTTTTTTACAAAAAGGAAAACAGAAAATATATACAACTGGAAACAATAGAAAGAAACGATATCTATTCATCACATTATCAGAGTATCATTACAACATATTTATGTATAAGGCGTATATACAACACACAAACAAACATACACACACAAACAACTTTTACAGATGAGTAATTAGTTGAGACGTGTTCTCTATGCAAAAAAAAGCGAGGAAAATGTAAGAAAAAAGAAATCAAAGAGGAGAACTCAATTTGCCATGAACTCTCAGATAATATAATAGAGTACATAGAGCCTTAACAAAACACTAATATCATGAAAAGACAAATATCCTGCTCCAAATTTCATTCATTTACTAACTACTACTACTCAGCACAAATGAGCTTGTACAAAAAAGGAACGAACTGGAAGGATAAAACTGCGGGGGTGTCATTGGAATAATAATAATTATCGATTAATACTTTGCTGCTCCTAAACCTGCAAACATACATACAACATACACTCAAGACATAAATAATGCCAAAAGCAATGACAGTAATCATAGTAACTGCCATATCCTCATTAAAGGCTATCTTGACTTATTATTTTTATATTATGTTATTCTACTCAATGGTATTGAGTGCTCGTCAGTACAATCAACAGCAGCAGCAACAACAACCGCAACCGCAACATGAGATCAACTTCTCCTCATCTACCTCATTACTTCAAAGTTATTCAGATTTATTTGCCCTATTAAATTGTACAGTGGAGTACAGCATCCAATTAGGCATGAAACCAGATATCCAACATAAAGCGGATACATTGTTACCGCATACAGCACAATCACCAGTGTTAAGTGTAGGCACTTATCAATGGATTGAATTAACTTGTACATGTTGTTGTATATATTCAGATCTATGGAAACGTATCACTAACACAGAGTTATTGCAATCAGCATCATCAACAATCAATCCGACAACAACAACAACAACTAGCAATAATAATGCTACTCATCAACCCTTAGAGCATCATAATAATACAGAGAATACAAGTATGACAACAACAACAACATTATTGTATAAGATTACATCATCCAATGATCATGTGATCGCTTTATCCCTATCGAAAAAAACTCATGCTAATCGACACTTACATCATTGTGATAATACAAGTATTATTAATGAAGGCAGTAATTATAATAGTTATTATTATTATCATAATTCTATTTGTACTACATTATATATTGAAGTGAAATGTAATGCACCGAATGGATTTTACGTGCATGCAGAAAATTTAGGTCATAGTCAGATTACGACAACATTAATATGGATGAATAGTACATCAAGAAAACAGGTGGATATGTTGACAAAAATGTCTGAATCGTTTGGAATACTGGATGATCACCAGCAGTATGAACAACAGAGTACTACGACGACATCGACGAGCACGACGTCGACTACGACAACCACGACGACAACGATAACAACAGTGACAAGTCCAGGATATATGAAACAACATCAAAAACAACTGCAACAACAAACTCAATATCAACTAGCCAATAAATTGATCAGCAATCCATTGGATTCAAAACAAATAAAAATTACTGAGGCAAAGATCTATGTACCTTATTCTTCTTCAGATTTACAATATGATGACAATAATAATAATGATTTAAATGCGTTGAATGGTACATGGAAAACCTATTTATGGTTAACCATATTATTAAGACCACAAAAATTCTATCTGGCTTCAGATTGGAGTTCAGCTGTAATAGCTTTTATGCTTGCTCTATCGGTTGGTTGTTGTGATGATCCAATCTTAGTTAGAGAACAGTTGCATGAGCCAAAATCGATATTATGTGGGATATTATGTCAATCACTTATTATTCCATTGGTAAGTACACTCTTTAATGCATATATGTATGTTTTGATGTTTGCCTGTCTGGATTCAACATAGAACTTGCCACCGAAGTGCACCAGTTCGAGTTGCCACGTTCCGAATAGCACACAAAGGTAGACAAGAAGGCATGAGTGAAGAGAATCAATAGAGTTTTGACAAGTATAAGAGTGAAACAGAATGAGTAATGGTAGAAAGGAATATGAAAGATTATACAGAGACTGAATACATCTGCGCCATTGACATTGACAACGATTTTGAGCCATGTCACCTATTGTCTCCAGCCATTGATTTTTAGAGTCCCGAGGGCGGGTCCCAACCCGGAAGTCTGCATCTCCCTACCTGACTCAGTTTAACTGTCAAGGATTTCATGGATTGATGAGGGCATGTTTTTGTTTGGCCACCACTTACTCTTTTCCAACCTGCACCTATATCGGCTAGTAATGCCCGTCGGGGGACGCAGTGGTTAGGCATGCGCAGCACGTGACCTAGCCATCTCAATCTATGTAACTTTATAGCCTCGTCGATTGATTTTCCCTCTTTGCCCAACACTCTACGCCTAACGTTAACATTGCTTTGATGTAATGCATATAATGTGTTAAGCGTGTGTCTGACAATTACCTTAAACTATGAGAAAGTGTTACACAGTGAAGTGCTTGCTTTGAAACTTTCATATTTAATACACTTCATCTATTCGCTCGTTTGTTTTATTTTTTTTTGCGTTTCATAGAACTCTACTAGCTTCAGATGAATTACTACAATTTTGATTTCTTTATCTCCTTTTCTAATATCTAACACGTGATTTGCAGATGATAATAGGTCCTACATTGTTCTTTCTTACTATGCTTTACCATGCGGCGTTCCGAGTGGAACATAGGGAGGGATTCAGGCTTTGAAGAAGTGTCAGTAGAAGTAGTGCTGTTTGAGCCTTACGCTCTAGATTTTTTAAAAAGAGTACGTTAGCTGGGAACGGAACTCTTGACCATGTGGATGGTTTGCAAACATCTCACCATTGAATCACGATGTAGTGCTTCACTCAAGGCCTTAAATTGAGACAAAAACTCGGGGCATTGGATTCACGGTACTTTGTTTTTTGTAGCTCCATTTCACACCGTATTTTTGGTACAAGTATTGAATTTTCAGCATGTGATATCTGTAGCCCAAATTTTGCAGGCCGACCAATTGATATCAGGTATCCGTCGGCAGAGGATCGATCCCCGAACATTGTGCATGGTCGGCGAGTGTCCTAACCATTGTACCACCGACGCACTAACCACTACATCACGAGTCCTAACTGGTTTGTTTTACTGATTTAGGATCTCAAATGATTTCAAAAATCTGATACTGAATACACTACATATTAAGTAAATATCCCAATCTAATAATCACACTAAAAGATATTGCGTGTATAACATCAGTTCTCATTTAATCACCCGCTTGAATTATCAAACTTTCTAGTGCTTTTATGGCACTGCTGAACTGACTGATAGAAGTATAAACCTAGAGAACAAATTGCTTCCACCAAACACGTGATTATACTTTAGGATCTGACTAGGAATAAAGTATGTGCGGGTGGCGTCGGGTCCCTACGGGGTGTGCTGCAAATTGGCAAAATCCTAAAGGAATTAAAAAATGCCTAACAGTCTACGACACAGTAGAGGAGAAATGCCACGAAACGTTTTAGGCCTAACTTTCATCTATCCCACTTAAATATTAATGTGGATAGTTTTATGGCTACATAAGTGGGCCAGGTTTGATTCCCAAACGATACACTCCTACACCTCAGCTAGCGGTACCAAGTCTAGGAAAACACAAGGTTGAAATTGAGGCTAGCGACCCCATAGAAAGAAAAAAAGTATCACTGAAACTGAGACTTCAAACCTCAAATGTGAAGCCTTGTGTTGCATTCTCTGAGTTGAATTGGATAGTTAGTTCAGTTCACTTAGAGGATCCAATGCCAATGAAAACCCTTATTAGAAAAACTAATAAAAATTCGCTAAGATATACACAACTAAGCTAAGAATAATTGAGCGATAACAAACATTTACTTTCTTTACAACCCTTTAAGAGAATCTCAAGAAGCTTTCCCAGGATGTGTTCAGTGAGACTTCCACAAACCAACACTTCAGTATTAACCTAATGTTCACTAGAGACTGCTTCTATACACGAAGTCAGTGAGAAAGGTATATCAAGTCAGCCGAGAGGATAGTTACTCGCCTGTTACACTGACTGGCGGTTCCGCTAAATGTATATCACGAATTCACAGAAGTTGGAATTCATCATCTATTAGGTCGAGCACCAGTGTCTGAACGAGGTCACCTAGTAACCAGAGGGTTTTGAGTACAAAACGCGGTGGTTGTGTACCACAGAAGAGTCCCAAACTAGGACGAAACCGCTGTCCAGTACTCCCTGCAGCTTTTCCAATGGTTCTTTAACTGATCGCAGCCTGTGATAAATCCTTGATATTTCAATGGAGAACACTAAAATACTATGTGTAACCCTAGAATTAATCCCAACAAGTTGAATAATACTCGAAGTAAAACAAAAATACTTTCACCAATTAGACAATATGTAACGAAGAATCAAGTAGAAATGTGAGTGAAAGTCAAATCTTCAGCTACTTTTTCTAGAATAAACTAGGAATAAATCTAAAAAAATTAATGAAAATGATTTACATAATCCTAAAAGCAAACACAACACAAATAACTAGGCCTATAATCTCTATGTCTTGAGTATATCTGAGTTTTCGAATGCCTTAGACACACTACACCTTAGACAGGCTTTCGTTTTTAATAATAAACGAAGATAACGGTCTACAAATAACATAATTTTAGTGATTGATTATACTTCTGTTCATATAGAAAATCACGCAATACACACCTTTTTCTGATTCTTTTAGCATTCCAGGTGGAACATAGGGCTTTATGCTTTGAAGTTCGCGTAGCCGTAGTATTGTTTCCACAGGATCAGGTTTCTGGACTAGCATACAGCATTTCTGCTTCTTCTCCGAGTTTACTATTGGCGAGTAAATTAGGCGGAGTTTGAGAATGCATCGACTGGGAGTCAAACCCGTGCACCACACCATAAGCATGGTTGGAAAGCAGTCCTACTGTTGAATCACTAACGAATGTTTATTCGATAACCTTTGAATCATATAATAATAATAATAATAATAATTTGCTTTATTCCAAAACAGTACTTGTGATACAGAATGGAATTCTCAGCATTTTTACTACAGTATTGCATCCAGTTAGTACATTATCAATAAAAATAAAATTCTACATAGATTAAGGAAATCTCAGTTCATTATGACAACAACATATCGGCATGTCGGTAGCAAAGCCAAAGTTGAACAGTGTTTGAAGGTGTTAGAAAAGTAGGTGCTATCATATTTACTGGCGTAAGCGCAAGAAAGAAACAAAGCAGCACATAACAGAAAAAAAGAGAGAGAGAAAAGGAAAAGAAAGAAAGAAAACGTTGTACCTATAAATGATATGAGTTGGAAAAACGAGATCCAGTTGTTCTACTGACTATTTAATAAGTTATAGGTATCACGCCTAATGCTTTCTTTATCGCACAGAACACGAGCTAAGTAGGGTATGGTTGAGTTTTTGTACTTGCTAGTGTGAGCATATAGTTTTCTATATAGGGGAGAGTTGTGAATGAAGAGGGTGGTGTGATAAAATGGATTTGGCCCATTTTTCACATGAGTCCATGTGCCTGTCAACCAGAATATTAACAAGCTGGTTAATTGGCACGTTGCTTACCCTGCTGACAACCTTTAACATCCTGCGTAATAAGGTATAGTCTTTCTTCAGTAGAAAAGAAAAGACCTTCAGCGAAGAGTTACTCTTTTCGGCTAAATATCATTCCCAAGCTGTATAATCGCATATACATAAAGTCAATTATCTTAGCAACAAAATGAATATTTCCAAAGATTTGTCATTAGAATTGTAAATTTTAGTTAACAAATTACCTAACATAGAGAGCGTTAATCAGGTTGAAACTGAAATAAAATTAGTAGCATTGTAAGTTTTAGATAACAAATTTCGTTAATGGTTTAGAAACTAAATTAAGATTAAATAAGCAAGTTGAGTGACGTAATCTAATTGACAGGGTTGAATAGAGCTCAGCTAAAACTGAAATTGAACTAAAGTGAAGTTAACAACAGCGGTAATAAGGAGTGGACGGACGGACGGACAATTAATAAACAAACAAGCAAGAAAAAGACGAAACAAAAATTACGTGTTTAGTGTTAAAGTAGGTCAGGTCTACTGGATATTTAATGACTGAACAAACTTCTTTTGTATGCAGAGTTCATAATTTAATATTGCTTCTGCAGTTTGAAGAAGTTCGGCTCGTACTCTTTTAGTAAGATTCCCACGTATGCTGTAGATGCCTTTGTGGGTTCCATCAGATGTCCCAGAATTCTAATTACAAATCTTTGGAAATATTCATTTTGTTGCTAAGATAACTAGCTACATATATCTATGTGATTGTACAGCTTGAGAATGATATCGCCGAAAAGAGTAACTCTTCCCTAAACGTCTTTTATTATATATTCGATAACCAATAAAAAATTAGTGAAGTTACATTCTTAATGGCTTAATTTAGGTTACATCATCCAGATTAAACAGAAACATTCTGAATGAGCTAAAAATTTGTATAATTTCACAAACTCATCGAGTATGGAAGTGCCTACTTCGCTTGCATCTATGCCTCTACTGCTTGACAGTGTTAAAATACAGCGCAAAAACAGAGTAATTTAGTCAAAGATGTCTAGCATTGGAAATCTGGCACGCGGATGAATCAGCGATTTATTAACAAACACATTGTCACAGATCCAAATTTACCAGCTAATTAAAAAGCAAATTACATGATAAGAGAAAGTTCAAATTCAAAAAAAAATAATCAATACAGATGTAAATTAATAACCAATCACATCAGCGGTTGTCAGAAGATACAAATAAATCATCATTTGTGGAAAATTCAAACAA